TAGAAGAAAATGATAATGAAGACAAAAAACGCTTAAGGATTTAAACTTTTTTGATGCGGAGCCTTTGAACGATAGTGCTGAAACAAAAATTTTCTTGTTAAACTATCATTTGCGTATTATGTTCTTAACATCCATTGAATGTACGCGCGAGTAAAATTGGCAAATGCAACTTCAAAGGATCTTGAACAAGGAACGCATCGTATCTGTTTTACCAGGCATAACAATAGTATCAATGATGGTAATAAAGTCTCAGCGACTGCACACTACACTATAACGAATTTATAATACGTATACATTATTGTTCACGTAGTAACGAATGGATAAAAAATTATTATATCGAGAATACGAGATTTAATTGCAGGTGAACTCTAGATTTCAAATAGTTTTGTTATAATCTATACAGACGGTCGAAACAAATTGTTCTCTTATCTCAATTTTCAAGAATTCACTCATTTATAACTGTTCCTAGACATAACTTCGACCCATTGAGATTTTTAATTAGCGTTAGTGCTTCGGTTTAAAATATTCAGTTTATGGAGATTTGACTTAGACTCTTCTGGAACGCCATCTATTAACCCATTTAATCATATTAATGTCGATGTACTTCAGGTCCAGTTCACTAAAAATTCCCTATGGTCACAAATCTCTAGTCGTTAAAATCATGAAATTTCACTATGGAGGGGGTGATGACTGTACAAAGATTTCAATTAATTATATGGAGCTGTGTATTATCTGGATTACCTAATGCACTAAGCAAAATTGTTTTTCGGTTGGAGGTGCAGTAGTATCATTCAAAAAGGCTGTAGCTTCCTCAAAAGCCACCATCATTCCCATTAGCATATGTGGCACAATATGACAATGAGCAACCCAGACACCAGGATTATCTGCAATAAAGCGAACAACTTTCCATCCACATCCTTGTGAAGGCGTACCAAACATTGGACTGGGATAGACCAAGGTAGTATCTCTATATATTGGTGTACTATTTTTTCCATTAGGATACGTGAAAGATGATGTATTGGAAAATGGAAATTCTCCTGGTCCTTCAACGATTTCCCAGAAAGCATGGCCATGTAAGTGCCAAGGATGATATTCGCATTTACCTTCTGGTCCAAAAGTGTTTTGAAAGACGAGATCAATTGTTTCTTTATAACGTAACGGATAAGTTCCAATAGACGCATTATAACCATTCGGCAAATTCGAATAATCGGTGTAGACCGGTCGTTTTCCCGAATACAAATCAAGAAGAACAGCAGACTGAGGAGTCGTAAAACTTACAGAGTTAACGGTCCATTGTCGTCCATCGTTTATAAGCAAAACCTGATTACCTCGTATTACTATTGTACGATCAGATTTCGTGGGTAAAGGTGGAATGAATTGGTTGTAGTTGTCAAGTGTTGTCAGTGATTGCGAGAGCGCAAATTGTGTTGGAAGAGTTAAAGTATGTATCGTTTGATTTTTAGGAAATGTGTAACTTAAGATGGCGTTTGCTACTCGGTTTGGTTTGTCAGATCTTATGAGAACATTTGCTGTGATTTGATAATCACTTGGTATTTGATTTGTTGTAATTAGAACTGAATAACGTTGTCCAGGAGCAATTTCTAGAAATTCCGTAGTCACCGGATTCACGTAAGTTCCATCGGCTTCAATTATCGTCATATTATGTCCCGCAATACCTTTATTTTATGTTTAAATTAGCATGTACGTGTATATTTAATAAATTTAATAAGCACTGCAAAAAATACCAAAAACTAAATCTTCAAGAGTGGTAGCGCCAATGATTCTCAAACGATATGTTTTATTTGGCTCAACCCAAATCTTATCCGGTCCACATTTATCGTTATTATTTCCTCCAGTTCTTCCGTTTA